TCCCGATGATCTAGCGAATATTTGGGACGAAACATTGTCATTTAGCATCTTACGCGCCGGCCAGAAGCGTTATTTTAGACAACTCACCGAAATCGAGAACTGTTAGAAAGAAAACGCTGACTGAAAAGGGAAAGCAATACGCGAAGGAATTTAAATCAAAGMAAAGAAATACCGCTTATAAGAACTTGAAACAGCAAATTACTAAAATCTTGAGTTTACGCGACAWTCCAGATGTAGATCTCGAAACACTTGAGAAAGAGAGAGACACGCTAGACCATCTTAAAGAGATTTTAAACGATCTACAAGGAGATTACGACTGCCTCCTGGAGACAGATGTAGAGAGAGAGAGTTCGTATTGATGGTTTGATCTTCGTGACCGTGAATACATGGAGTGCCGTGTTAAAGTATGCGAACGACTCCATATAGTAGAAAGAGAGTCGTCACATGAGTCGTCAGTAAAATCCGGTGGCCGTCGTTCTGTGAAGTCTCATGTTTCACAAAGGTCTAGAATCTCTAAGGCAAGCTCGTCTTCAACGAAGCACCTTTCGATCGCAATAGTTGACGCCACCACTAAGTCAGCAAAATTGGAGGCTGAAATTGAGCATCTAGACAATGAGAAGCAGAGCAGACGCTTAAAACTAGAAAGAGATCTGGCAATAGCAACCGCAGAGGAAAAGGCGTTGAAACAATTGTCGAGTCCAAACGAAATCCAATTAGCCATTAAGGAGGAGATAAATCAAGTCACGTCTAAGACGGAAATAAAAACTCCGCACGACATAAAACCACAAAAGATCGAAAACACTCAACAAATTTTCGATCCAAATGCTACTCCATTACCCTGGGAACCAGAGGCTGGATTTACTCGTTCTTGTAGTTTATATACGGCGCGAAGCGCCGTCCTTGAGGCCGAAGGMCGAACCGTAAACCAGCCTCTGGCGGCACGGATAGCGAATCTCACTTCCATGTCAGTGTTTACATTCAAGATCTGAATGTTGCAGCTGATTGGTCCGTTGATATCAGAGCGATATTATTGGTTGAAAATCAAAACCGRTTTTCAATCAGATACTCGACGAAGATTCTACGATAAAGTTCTTTCACATTAGATAATTCTTTGTCCTAAAAGGTTTAGACTTTCGAGTTTTTTTAAATTCCAAGTGAAGGTGAGACATGTAGCTGCTAGCTATAAATTCAAAAGCAAATATTTTCTCTAAAAACGATCTTTTCTCCAGATGAATTGCAAGTCCCCTGTCTACAAATTCGAGAGGCTGCAGCTATACACTTTGCAGATTCGTAAAGTCTTGCTTTAACGACATCTTCTGGGGATTTTGCTTAGTTTACATTCTGTGAGAATTCTGATACACGACGGAGATCAGTGACCCGTAACATCTGACAACTTATCTTTCGTCGAGTATCTGATTGAAAACCGGTTTTGATTTTCAACCAATAATATCGCTCTAATATCAACGGACCAATCAGCTGCAACATTCAGATCTTGAATGTAAACACTGACATGGAAGTGAGATTCGCTATCCGTGCCGCCAGAGG